AGGCAAAAAAAAAAAAAAAAAAAAAAAAAAAAAAAAAAATCTCTATCGGATCTCGTTTTTTCCCTTTTTCAGTTTTTCCTTTGGTGTGTGTCGCGATTAGCTCGGGGGAGGGAAGCGGAAGCGGAAGCGGAAGAGGAAGCGGAAGCGGAAGCGGAAGCGGAAGCGGAAGCGGAAGAGGAAGGGGAAGCGGAAGCGGAAGCGGAAGCGGAAGCGGAAGAGGAAGGGGAAGCGGAAGAGGAAGGGGAAGGGGAAGGGGAAGAAGAGAAAGGCAGGAATATTCTTGCATGTCGGGATGTGACACCACGTATCCCCGGGGGTGGGGGGGGGGGAGAAAGAGACATCATAATGTCATATATCTGGGTAGAGTTTAGGCGTATTTTTTTCCCCTTTTGTTATTACATGAAAACAGACTGATGTCATTGAAAAACAAAAGAAACCATGTCAACATATCCCCATTGTGTCGAGTCTCCGCCGAGTTAAGGTAGAGTGACATGGATTTAACGTTAAGGCGTGTAAGTCTACCGTCTGCCCCCGAGCACAGCACACCCTCGTTTTGACTGCGCATGGCCGGAAAGATAGCTTTGTACACGTTCGTTATCAGGGTGCGCTGTGCTCCGGGGAAAACAGTAGTCTCTCTTAAATTTGGGAAAAAAAACAAGAAAACAAAAAAAGGGTAGAATCTCCTCTTCTAACAGGAAAAAGAAAGAGAAAAAAGTGTTAGGAAACGCGCCAATCGTTGTTCCTTTGCCCTCCTTCACTAATTTATCTTATATTTATCCATTTTTTTTTATTCTATCCCGAAAATTGCATTTTGAAATTTGGTTTGCACAAATTTATGGAAATTCAGAACCCCTTAACTCGCCGACGTGTGCATGATCCATCCGGCCTCCCGCGGTGGGCATCGTCCAGGTTTTTTTTTTTTTTTTTTTTTTTTTTGGTCTCCTCCGGTTTTTCATATGCCCGCACCGCATGTTGTTCTTCTTGAACGTTGTATAGCCCCAGAATTGGTGCATGGTGCAAAAACTCTCGTACAAACCTCTGGTACAATCCTCTGGGGCGAGGGCCGACTAGCAAACAGGATTAGACTAAGCACCTGAATGTGGATGTATTTTATGCAGAGATGCAGAAAAGCAGATCAATCCCGATTTTCAGCAGCTCTCCACACACACGTCTAGATGCAGGCTGTTCAATTCAATCCTCTCTGCTAGTACTGTAGTGGAACCTCCGCCGTCGTGCAAACCTCTCCGCTGGTACAAACCTCTGGTAAAAAGACCTCTGGTAAAAAAACCTCGGGGAAAAAAAACTCTGGTAAAAAAACATATGGTAAAAAAAAAAATGGTAAAAAAACCTCTGGTAAAAAAAAATCTGGTAAAAAGACCTCTGGTAAAAAGACCTCTGGTAAAAAAAAACTCTGGTAAAAAAAACTGTGGTAAAAAGACATGGGGGCAATCTTCTGGTACAAATAAAGAAGGGCTCGTACGACAAATTCTTTTCTTTTTCTTTTCAAGGCAAAAATGACATCGTTGTACGACAAATTCGCAAAAACCGTTTGTTTCCTCTCTCTCCTGACAGTAAAGGGCTTCTTTTTTTTTGGGCTTTTCTTTTTTTGGCTTTTTATCTTTGGCTTCTCTTTTCTTCTCTCTTCTCTTCTCTTCTCTTCTCTTCCGTTCTTTTCTTTTCTGTGTCCCCATTCTTTTTCCTGCTTGCTTTCTTTTTCTTTCTTTTTCTCCCTTAGTTGTTTTCGTTTGGTCTGCTGTTACGAAGGGAAAAGCCACAGATGAAAAGTTAATAAATGAAGACGTGAACGAAAAAAGAAGGTCGGAGAGGATGGAGGTGGTTTCGGACGAAGGAAGGAATGAAGGGAAGGGAGGTGATTTCTGTCCGCCCTCTTTTAATTTTTAATTTTTATTTTTTTTGCCCACCTTCATTTGTTTCACAAGACGACAAAGTTTTATCTCTTCCTCCGCAGTCAAAAGGGGATGTCCCGGGCCGTTCCAATCAACAGAGCTCAGCCCGACGTCTTTGTCGTGTAGTAGTTTGCTCGCCCTTATCCGTTCCGCGGTCTTCCCGCCAAATTCCGAGAGCTTTAGCACCCCTTCGGGCCCCTGATAGACACCAATGAGGGGTCTTTTATCGGTGCCTCTTTCTCTTAGAAGTTTGCGCAGCGCCACACGAGAGGACAAGCAAGGCCGTCGTCTTCCTTTGCTTCGAACGACAATCACCTCCCCCTCCACCTCTCTCCTCTCCATGCTCTTTCCCTTTTTCTTTCCCTCTCCCTCTCCCTCTCTCTCCTCTTCTCCTTCACCGCCCGACTTCTTCTTCCGCCCATTACCTGTCTTCTGGTTGCCTCCTGTTCTCATCTCGCTCACGGGTGCCGATTCCTTCTTCATCTCTGCTCCTTCTCGTTCTCCTTCTCCTCCTCCTCCTCCTCCTCCTGCTCCACCTCCTCCTCCTCCCTTTTTCCCTTCGTCCTTACCCTTCAATCGTTTTCCTTTCACCTTTTGAACAGAGCTCCCTATACTTTTCCTTCTCGTACTCGCTGCCCGCTTCTTTTCCATCTTCACCTCCTCCTTCTCCTCCCCCCCCTCCTCCTCCTCCTCCTCCTCCTCTTCCAGCTTTTTTTGTCTCACTGTCAAACCGTCCGTCCCCTCCCCAACACCAAGCAGCTGTACCACGGACTTTCGCCCTCTCCTCGATCTCGACGGCGATGGCGATAGCGATACCGATGTTGATGACGATCGTACGTCTGTTAACGACGGGTCACCCGATTGACAAGAAGAAGAGGAAGAAGAAGAAGAAGAAGGGTAAGAAGATGAAGGAGGAGGAGGAGGAGGAGGAGGAGGGCAGGAAGGTGATGAGGTTGGTGATGGGTGGAAGATGAGGTCGTTGCGTTTTTCGGCACAGCGTTGATTACGATGGGCCGTCAGATGTGAAGGAAACGGCAGGTCTATACCGTCCGTGAGGTGGTCAATGGTAGGAGGCGCGACGTCGGGGATAATGTATGATCGTGCGTAGGCTTGCTGAAGAGAAAAGGCGGGGTCGTCTCGGTAAGCTATCTCCAGAGCGTCGGCTGCACCTAGACGGAATGGCAGATCTATTCCTGGATTAGCCTGTTGGTGACCGTCTGCCACCAGGTTGTTCTTCAGGACCACAAGGTCCTGTCTGGGTTCAACGACCGAGGCTGTGACTGCGGGCGCCGTCTTGCCTTTCCTACTAGATCTGCTGCTGCTACGACCGGTCGGAAGCGTCGGTTCTGCTCCTGAGTGGTCCCCCGACCGGCGACTCCTCCCACCTTCTCCTCCCCCAGCGATGGCCGTCGTCGTCGTCGTCGATGTCGATGTCGATGCCGACTCTGACGACCTGGAGCTCGAGCTGGAGCAGGCTATGGATGCTGCCGATTTGCTCTGGCTGAACACGCCCACCAGCACTCCTCTTCCTCCTCCTCCCCCTCCTCCTCCTGCTGTTGCTGCTGCTACTGCTCTCTCTCGTTCTCCGCTCCCCCCTCTGGACCTCCCTCCTACCCCACATCTCGTTATCGACGTTGTCGTCTTCCTCATCACCGTTCCGCCATCGACAGTTGTCCTTGTCTCCGTCCTCGTTCTTTCATGTGACGTCGTCTCCCACGGACTGCGACCGCTCTCTGGCACCGGGAGAGGGGATTGGTGGGTGCACCTCTTGAAATTTCCGGCCTGATTACCACCTCCTGACATGGCTAAGCTTCCCTTGACCTTCTGGCCGAACAAGGAAGAACCTGACGAAGACGGCGATGGCGACGAGGCGGCGGGCACCGATCTCCCAGACGCGCAGCTGCCATAGCCAGCCGCTGAGCTCAGCAGCCTCGGTTTCTTGATACGCAGTATTTCTAAGGACGCGGAGGGGGAGGAGGGGGAGGAGGGAAGGGAGGGCAATGAAGACGACGACGTCGAAGATGATGAAGAAGACGAAGAAGTAGAGCACGAAGATACCCCCCCGCTGCATCGTACAAGGTGGAGCGATGGCGGGCACGCCGCTCCTGCGACAGCCATAGCCGCCACCATCAGACCAGCCTATACACGTCTCTCTGCTTCTCTCGTGCACCCCCTGCCACTCTTCCTCTTCCGTCGCCAACCACACTATACACGGATCACCAACCAATTGCCAGAACGCCACGTGGAGACGTGAGAGCTCTTGATAGGTGAGGTCGGCTATGGCGTTCCCCCCGGGAGATGGGTGAGTTCCTTTCCCCCTTGCGCGTCGTCTTCCTCCGTTCCCCACGACTAAACTACAAACCCGTCGAGATACTACACGACAACGCAGAATTGCTCCTCTCTTTCTCCTCTCGGCTCCATGCCAACCAGCAACTCCTTCCAACCTGAATGAAGGTTGAGTGATGGCGGCCAACAGATAGCACGTCGTTTGGTCTCGTCGGCGAGAGACTGTGAAGTGTGCAGATGAAGACTCTGCAAACTTTCGAAAACTTCTCTCTGCACTTTCGAAAAATTTCCGCGAGACACTGACAAGCCGGCTGGCTGGTAAACAGCCTCAGCGAGCTTGTAAGAAAACAGCTGCTACAAGCTGAAGTTACGCGCTTGGATCACCAGATTAGCTAAAACAGCCGTGTTTTTTTTTTTTTTGGTGTACATGCACGTACGTCCATGCTCAGCAGTCTTGCATGCACGTCAGTACGTGCTCAGCTGTCTTGCATGCATGCAGGGATGTACGTGCGTTCTATCCATCGATTGAGGCTGCAAAACAAGCCCTTTTCATCCTTGACAGATATCGAGTTGGGGGGGGGAGGGGAGGGGCGCCGCGGGGGAGGTACTCACCAGCAGGACACCGAACCACTGCGATTCGATGCAACAACTGCCTGGGTGTTTTTTTCGTGCGTGTTCACGGTAAGATGGAGAGAGGGGGGCGGGGGCCGGGGAGGGGGAGAGGAGACGAAACAGAGGGTAACTCTCGTCAGAAGTGTACGGCAGGGACAAGCTGTCTTGCTTCCCCTTTGGCTCGATCACAGCTGCCGGTTTCCTCTCTGCTGGGAAAGGGAAGGGCTTCGGGGGGGGGGGGGGGGGAGGAGAATCAGAGATGGCTTCTCAGTGCTTCGGACGTTGCAATTTTAATGAATGAGCGGGATCCCAACATAGAGGCCGCGAGACTACGTGCAGGCCCCGCGGCTGGGAACTGTGGAAGCCTCGCTGCTGAATACTTAGGTTATGGGAAATGGATGGGAAACTGGAGCGGGTACATGCAGGCCCCGCGGCTGGGAACTGTGGAAGCCTCGCTGCTGAATACTTAGGTTATGCGAAATGGATGGGAAACTGGAGGGGAAGGAGGAAATGGGGATGATGATGGGTGAGAGGGAGAGGAGGAGGGGGAGGAGGAGGGGGAGGAGG